TTGCTGTACCAAAACGCAAAACCTCGCATTTATTCAGATTGAACTCTATCTGCCATTTTTCATACCATTGACCCATTTCATCAAGATCCCTTTGTAATCTTTGCCTTCTTCATTGTCTACTATGCCACCAATTTTAGTGTCATCCACAAACTTACTAACCATGCCTTCCATATTTTCATCCAAATCATTCTGTACTTCTGCAATGCAACATTGTATGGCAGTTTGTAATAACGCCAAATCCTGCACATGGGAGAGGTCATGCAATCATTACCTCTTTAAAAGCAACCAGTTAAAATGAAGATCAACTTTTCTATACTTTATCTCACTATTTCTTGATTTTAAAGAAGACAATTGTATCACTGCCTTCCACAAGAGATTGCGTTTTTTGTCTTGTGTTTTATTGGAACGTGTTGCATAACAACAATGTGAAATTAAATTTGTAAAGATACTTGCAATTTATCATAGCAGCTACATTAATACCCAATTGGAAAAAGATAGATAACAATGCTGAACCGACGAAATGTTGGGCAATTTAGAGGACGCGTTATTCGGATAAACCATTTGTTAAGGCAATTCTTATTATTAAAGCTTTAATTACCTGTCAGTTTTGGTAAAACCACTTTTTCTACAATCGCAGGCAACAGGTATGTGTCAACATCATCCATCTGTGGATCCTGTCCCTCTTCACATCCATAAAACAGCAAAGATTCGAACCACAGCATACTTTCAAAGTCACGACAATTTGGCTATTAGAAAAACAGTGATTATGCAATGCGTGTTTATCTACTTGATACAACACAAATAAAGCTTTGAAACAATTATCAATTGCCATTGACTTATCTGAAAAATGTACACTTTGCGGTTTGAAGTAAACAGATTTTACCTAATTCCTGCCTACAGTAAAGGCAGCAGTTCAAGAAGATAGCTTACCTTACTGCAACCTTCTCAAAGGCAATTAGGGTTGGAAAACAAATGCTGGCCTAACGAGGGATACCCACATAACAAATGAATAATAAAGCAGAAAATGTTACATGAATTTTCAGGATGGTTATGAGACTTTTTCAATGAAAATTGATATGCAAACCAGACTTCCATTAGGTGGTTTCAAAAAAGAATTCAGACCCATCAAATCAGGTTGAAATGTCATGTGCTAGGGCATTAAAAGGATGCATTCAGATTAGTCTATAGAGATGGGTAAAACTACATTCACCTGACACACAAAATATATTAATCATAAGACAGGATACACTACTCGAGGCAGGTAAAGTGTTTGAAATCACTTGCAGAAAATATTCAGTTGAAGCCTGAGCTCACAGAGAAAACCCCCTCTTATTTTGGATCTTCACTCCCGTCCCAAACCATGTCAACAACACAATCGGTATGACTTTGCTGAGATAGAATCAGTCACCATTTCAGAGCAGGTGACACATGATCTGTAGCTACACAAATATGAAAGAAAAATCGTCAACTTGTTGCGGCTTTAGATTCAACTCCATTATCAATACTAGAAGCGACTACTCTTCATTTTACTGTCTTCTTCAATCAACAGTACATTTATTTATACAAACAAACATATAGGCCTCTTTACGGATAAATTATACAGATAATTTTGTTCATGTCCTTTTCACTCCATTCCTTGTCAGCTGCACACTATTCCTTAAATCTGTGCAGGCTATCTGTTCTACCAGTGCTAATCTCTAACAATCCATGTCAAAATGCTGAAGAACACCCCAGATGATTCACCAAGCAGGTTTTTATCTCTCCTGGTGGGAAACTGGGAAAGATTACATTCCCAAAGCAAAAACAATTCTCCACTATACAAGGTTTTGATAAATTCAGAACACTTCAGAGCCACAATTTTTTTTACCCAAGCAACTTTCAGGTCTCACCTCAAAAGGATTCCATTGGATGAGTTGCAACCGAATAAGTGGATTAAGCAGTTTTGGAAGGCAGAGACCAATATATGCATCTTTATAATGAACATAATACATTTTTCGCCAGACTTCAAATCGTGTCTTAATGCAGTCAAGTGTACAGAAATCATCTAAGACGTCTTCAAACACTTTTCTTGATTCATTAACAATTCGATCTACAAAAGATGTTAGCATTTTGAAGTATTCATTGAAAAAAATGGATGCTACATCGTATATCTTAACACTTACACACATATATACACACACACACACACACACAAAATGAAGCAGCCCTGGGACAAACTGTTCCACAAAAATATGAAAATGTACAAACACTAAATTAATGCAAATAAATTCAACCCTTGCAATGGATTACAGTTCCTAATGTGATAGGGTGACTTTTTCTATATAATATGCTTTATCAACAATATTCTAAAGTTTACAGTTTTCAAAGCATTTCCTTCCTTGATTTTGTAATGGAGTGCAATTTCAGAACATTTTGCAATAGGCGTACCGTTTTCCATATTAAAACTGTTGATATCTGTGGAAGTTTCTTCATCATCACTTGATAGACCTTCATGATGTTCTGCCATCTTTCCTGCTTGTTCTCTGGCCAGTCTTCGACGTGCTCTAATTAATAAGAATCCAGAACTAATGCGTCACATTTCCATCAGGACCATTTGCTTATCAACATTCATTTTTTCTTCTAAGACTACAGAACTATAGAATGTCTCAAAAATATATAAACTTTACTCATTTAATTTTCGAATTTTCAATTTTTCTTTGTATTCTCAATGACAATGTAAGATTTTGAGTCTTAGTCATTAGCTACTCTTTTTATACACTTACAAAATGCCTTTTTGTAGTTTCTGCTCGCAAACACTAAATAGGATTGTGAATGTTCCAATTTAATTGAAGTTCCAACTGAAATGGTGTATAAGTATAGTGTAGACACAGTACAAAATACCTGGCAGGATGTAGAAATAAATGTAGCTGCCTCAGTACCACCTGAGGACTGTAATAACTTGCATTTATACAGTACCTTTAACATAGTGGAAACATAGAACATAGAACAGTACAGCACAGTACAGGCCCTTCGGCCCACAATGTTATGCCGACCTATTATCCTACTAAGATCAATCTACCCTGCATACCCTACATTTTATTAACTCCATGTGCCTATCCAAGAGTCGCTTAAAAGTCTCTAAAGGATCCGACTCCACTACCACATTCCGAATTAAGTTGGAAGTGTCAGCCAAGAAGCAACATAGGTGGGGTCAGCACAAGGCTGATGATCAAACAGAACTTGATGAGAGTTAGGGATTTGGCAGCAGAGTTTTGCATTACCTCATTGTTAAGGAGGGTAAAATGTGAGAAGTCAATTCAGAGCATGTTGAAAATGGTTAAAAACTGAAAGAACTGCGGATGCTGTAAATCAGGAACAAAAACAAAGTTGCTGGAAAAGTTAAGCAGGTCTGGTAGCATCTGTGAAGGAAAAAACAGAGTTAACGTTTCGGGTCCCATTCTGAGGAAGGGTCACCGGACCCAAAACGTTAACTCTGTTTTTTCCTTGAAAATGGTTAAGTCTAGAGGTAACAAAAGCATGGATGAACAGAGGCATCAGCAGAGTCAGGTGATGTAAAGGAAGTGGGAAGAGTTGATCTTAATAATGGCACAAAAGTATGGCCAGAAGGTCTCATAGTCAAATATGACACCAGCGTTCAACCTTAGATTGTCGGCAGGATGAAGTCAGCAGCTAGGGAAAGGAGCTTGTGCCAGGGACCGAAGATTATGCTTTTATAAGGACATGGGAAACAGGAGCAGGAGTATTTGGTCTCTTGAGCCTGCTGCATCATTCAATAAAATGTACAAAATGATCAGAGGTATAAATAGAGTGGACAGCCAGAGACTTTTCCTTGGATGGAGGTAGCTATTACGAGGGGGCATAGTTTTAAAGTGAGTGGGGGTGGATATAGGGGAGAAGTCAGAGGTAGGCTCTTTACTCAGAGAGAGTGGTAGGGGTGTGGAATGCATTGCCGGAGAGGGAAGTGGAGTTGGCCTCATTAGGGGCATTTAAGTAGCTATTAGATAGGCATATGGATGATAGTATAAGGTAGGGGTTGAGGTTAGATAGCCCTTAGGTTTAGGGTAAAAGTTCGGCACAACATCGTGGGCTGAAGGGCCTGTACTGTGCTGTACTGTTCTATGTTCTAAAATCATGGCTGATCTGACTGTGGCCTTAACTCCACTTTCCCACTTGCACTCCATAACCTTGAACTCCTTTGTCAAACATGTGCCTAACTCCACCTTGAATATAATCAATGACTCTGCCTCCACTGCTCAATGGAAAGGAGAATTCCAAATACTAAACAGAAGGAATTCCTACTCATCTCCATGTTAATTGGGAAATCACTTATTTTAAAGCCGTTCCCTTAAGTTCTAGATTCCTCCTGGAGGAAAACATCCTCAGCATTTAGCCTCAGAATCTTACGTTTCAATGAGACTGCCCCTTATTCTTCTAAAATTTGTTGAGTATGTGCCCAAACTGCTCAACACTTCCTCTTAAGAGACCTTCTTCATTTCAGAAATAAGTGTAGTGTCCTTTTCTGAACTAGTTCCAATGCAATAATATTCCTTCTTAAGGAAGGTGATCAAAATTGTCCACGTTAGTCGACCAATGCATCAATTCCCCGCATAGCTGTAGCAGACTTTCCCATTTTTATACATCATTTCCCTTGCGATTAAGGTCAGCACTTCCAGTTGTCTTCTTAGTTACAAGTACAACCTGTTGATTTTTTGAAAATCATGACACTTAAGACCCACTGTACTGCAGAATTCTCTCATTTAAATAATATTCTGTTATTCTTCCCATCAAAGTGGGCAACCTTACATTTTTGCACATCGTTTCTATCTGTCAACTTCTTGCTCACTCTGGAGAGTGTTTTTATTTTTTAAAATTCATTCAGGGGATGAGGGCATCGCTGGCTAGACCAGCATTTATTGCCCATCCGTAATTGCCCCAGAGGGTGGTCGTGAATCAAGCACATTGCTGTAGGTCTGGAGCCACATGTAAGCCAGACCAGGCATGGATGGCAGTTTCCTTCCCTAAAGGACATTAGTGAACAATATGGGTTTTCCAAAACAACCAGCAATGGATTCATGGTTATCATTAGACTCTTAATTCCAGATATTTATTGAATTCAAATTCCACCATCTGCTGTGGCAGGATTTGAACCCTGCCTCCCCATTTTACTCCTATTCTACTCCACTTGCTTTCCTACTCATCCTGACATCAGCAGCAAAATGTACCTACAGTCAGTGTCTTCATCTAAGTCATTAACATGGACTGTCACTAGCTGAAGGTCCAACACTCATGCACTGGTCTTACAAATGTTTAGTTGGCGGAATTTTATGCTCCTCCCACAGTGGATATCAAACATGCTCAGTTTCAAAATTGTAGAATGGTTAACTTTAAATGTGCAATCATACCTACGAGCCTCTCTCTCTGCAATCCTTCGCTGTTTGGCATTTTCTTGATACAGAGCACGATCGCGACCAAATGAATCCAGACTTGGTGTCACAACGGTTTTGCCTGCAAACATAAAGTGGACAAAATTACTAACAGCTTTCTTAAAACCGTTTCAAGTAGCATTAAGCTCAATTTTCAGTGAACATAAAATTTAAGCCAATTGAAACCCATACCATTAGGTGTTTGTAAATGGAGTCAGGTTGAGTAAGAACTAATACAATTACCATTGAAGCTTAATTGGTTACAGGTAAGAAGGAGGAAGAAAGAGTAAAGCTTCATATTTTTAAAATGTGCATTTGTGGTTAAATTAAAACAATTTAATTCACGGAAACGCACAATCTCACAGGCAATGGTGCAACATTACCACTTAATGTATGTATCTTTTGAGTTCAAATTAGAAAGAGCTATGAAATAAGCAAGGAGCTCTTATAAGACAGCTTTGTGAAAGATAAGCTTCACAACACTTGAAAAACTTGGAACATAGAACAACTATTCCTCTCAGCTGAACTGCCAATCAACAGATTTAAACATTCACACTGAAGTGTAAACAAAAAATGTATTAAATAAGCAAGGAGAAGGATTTTCTGTATTGTGATGCGTCAGTGCCGAAGGAAATCCGCCAGTAAATTAGCTGTTCATGCAAGCCTTAGAAAGCCATTACACTCCTTTAATTTCTTTATATTCAAATCATAACCTGATAAAACAGGGAATTGATGGATGAAGTGAACCCTCATTGCAAAAAAAATTAAGCAACAAACTTTAATTTAATTTATTCCTCTCTTAGCTAAATAAACTGCTTTTAAATTTATGCTTTTAATCCAAAAGCAAGGGTCAAAGTTACCTATCATGTTATAGTACAAGTATCCAATCAACATTTCCCCATATAATTTGAATGCGTTACATCCTGAAAAATAAGGTATTTTGCTGCACCTATTCTATCTATGCTAAATAGTTTTTCTTAAAAAAAAAACCATATCAAACTATCCCTCTGTAATCTTAAACTAATCTTGTCTGCTGGATTAATAAGCATTTTTTATTAATCTAACGTGTTACAACGAACGAGGCTGTTCAATGAAAAATAAAAACCTTCAAGATGGACTGACTTGAATGGCTTGAATATTCCGATGATTCATCTTTAATATCATCTTGCCGTCTCTGGACAAACCGGGCAGCCCGCTGTTTCAGCAGCTGGTGCATGGCAGATTCAAGGTCATTAACCAAGGGTACCTGAAAAATATAACATACTACGTAATACCTAGGCCCTGGTGTGTGCTAGTTATACCAAGGGAACAATTTTAAACTCAAGCTAGTCTTTGCAAATCTTCAATTAAAGCGGCCAAAGTGATGAGAATCTGCTGTCATTATGAAAAAAAATTGAGAGTTCCACATTTTGCCGAATGTGTCTGGAAACTTAATGGCAGAGTGATATACTTATTGTGTAACTGGAAACCACAGTAAATGGGCAAAAATGATTATTCAATTTTTTTCACCAATAACTTTCACACATACAAAAAAGCTAGTGGATAAATGTAGAAAATGAATGCAAGTCAAAACAAAAAACTGTACAAAATAAAGCCAGCCTTCTCTTCTTGATGTTCTGTCAATCACGAAACTCAAACCTATACACAATAACAGTCATATCCCTGATTCTATAGTTTAAACCAAGTGTATTTTCTGCATTGTTGTAACGTATAAAATAATTTGCAAAGTAAAAACTGAAAATTAAATGCTGCAACAGAAATTTCCTTAATGGAAAGCAATTTAGGAAGTCTTCCAAGTTAGGCTGTTGCACAGAACTCTAATGTTTTAGGTTAACACTGATCATTTGGAAAATTAGAGAGTTTATGAAACAGACTATGGAATAATTTAGCCTAAGTGGGTTACGCGGAACTTCAACATTAAGTACAACTTATTTTAAAAATCAATGCTTGTTTCTGGTTATTTGGAAATAGACTTGCAAATTCCACAGCCACAACAGTGATGACAAAAGAAACAAATAAGCTTTCATAGTTCTGTATTTTATAGATGCAGTGTTGATTAGTCCTTTTTCAAAGAAACAAGTGCTTCCGACGCAGGTCCTCTGAGCAGTACAAACACAGAAAACATGTTAATAGACAATTATTTCATAGTAACTCAGTTTATTCAGAAGGATTCTGCACTTTTCACCATTTTGAATCAAAAATAGAGTTTTTTCCTACGAATACTGTCTGTATGGGGAAATTTGCACAAACCTGGTCTTAAACTATGGCCTACCAAATGGTTACTGCAGCACTAAGTTTATGTTTACAATTGTTCTGATCAATAAAGCGCTTATCTAAAATACTAATCCACTTTCTCCACTGTTCAAATGCTGATAGGCTTCCTCAGCATTTCCAGTATTTCAGATGTTTTGCACCATTTAATCTTCTTTATAAACTTACGTGTTTTAAACGGAGTAAAATCTCACAAGGTATAAAGATTAGTAACTAAAAATCTGAAAGCTGCCATGAATTTATCCCACTCACTTATCACAACAAAATATATTCCATTCAAATACATAAATGTCCTACAACTTTTAAAGGTTTCTTAAACCTTACAGCTCCTATTTACATTGTCATTTAAAACAGATATCTTCCCGAATTTCCTAATTATACTGAATGCACTACCAGCTGCTTTGGTCAAAATGAACAAATTAATACAGATTATTAACAACAGATAGCCTGCTTGGTAGAGCATAAAACAACTGAATGTGGTTAAGCTTTCAATTGTTCAATTCATTGCTTGATGTCCCCTTCTGTAATTACTGCCTGTACTTTGTAACAAAATGTGTAACTTCACTCAACCAAGAAGCTTTCGATAATTCAACATTACATTTATTTGATATTATTGAAAAATGCAGTCTTTTAAAATATTTGATTTAGACATGAATTTTAATGTTAGGGCCTAAATATTTCATTTCCAAATACAGCATACAGGAAAGATGCTCATGCACTTCAAATGAAGCATCATTTCGTGAAACTTCATTACAACATTGCACACTTGTCCAAATTCAGTCAATTATGCAACATGTTTTGAGTGATGCATGCAATTCATCCTACAGTATATGATCTTAAAAATAACAAAGGACATGAAATACACTGATCCGAGTGCTCCAGTGTGGACAGCGCTTTGAAGTATAGCTCCCTGTGTCTCAGCAAAGACAAACTAAATGTAAACAATCTTCAGATTACAGAAAAATAATACCGCATTGCTCGAGAAATTCTGGAAAGAAAAAGTAATTTTTCTCCCCACAGGACAGCTTTTAAAGCTAACACCATTCAATACTGCCATCAGTTTAGTTTTAGACAAAGCAAAATATTGACAATGAAATAAATTACACAGCAGCACGATAGAGATTTACAGAATGTGACAGTATAACAAGTAATGACCTCAAAGGGAGGAAGAATAACATCCAAAAAATGCTGCATTGTATTTTACAAAAAAAAAGTTTAAAATTCCTTTTCTTCATAAGAAGTATTTTTATCAAAGAAAAGGCGCAGGTAAACTAACAAAATGTACCTCTGGAGTCAATTTCGGGACAGCCCTCATGGATTCAGCTTCAAGTACCTTTGGAGTCAAGGAGGTATTGAAGCTGAGGCCCTGAGGGCTCCCCCAAAATTCAATATACTTCGATTAAACTAAAACTTCATCTGTTCCTCAGCCAAACCAAATTTTGTTGAAGGCAAAAGATGGAAAGTGATGTCACCATTTTTTACTCTTATGAAAAATGAGAATACGTTTTTCTAGGCTATGTTATTGTGGGTAGCATAGATTCTTTCTGGTCAGTGGGTGCATACTGCAATTATCCTTTAAAGCTTTTTAAACACGAACAGGGGAAGAATTTAATTTTTGCTTCACACAAGACAGCATGGGGCAGGAACAGGAATAAAACGGTGACGCCCAAATAATAAACTGTACTGAACTTCAGAAAGAATGAACTAGCAAAAATCCCTAAAATCAACTTTAATTTCTTCTTTCTCACCCTCCTTCAAACTTCTTGATGGGTCAATAGTAAATTATATTTGCCAATGCTGTTGAATAAATAGGGAGAAATGTTATCTATCAAATTATGTTTTTCAATACATTTCTAGTTATAGAATCTCCCAACAGTATTAATTAGCTCTAATTTTTGTGATTGCCACTACTTGTAACCTGAATAGACCATGAAAACAAAACTTACCTAACACCCTTAGGCAATGACTTGCTTTGAAGCATACTCACTTCTGTCAGAGTCAGAAGTCAAATGACACCAGGCTATAGCCAAACAGATTCATTAGAAATCACAAACTTTCAAAGCACTGCTCCTTCGTCAGGTGAAGTTCACCTGATGAAGGATCAGCACTCCAAAAGCTTGTGATTTCAGGTATCGTGCGACTTCTGACATTAGTTGAACACCGGCATCTCCACATCACCACTTACATCAGGGTGATTTTTATATTTCAATCCACAGCTTTAATTTATGATATGAACATACACACCACTTTAAGAAGTGCTATCTTCAGTAAATGCTTAGTCAGTTGATGCTATTATTATTCTTTTATGTAACGTTTATTACTCTAGCAATACATAAAAATGGCCACAATGGAGGGAAGTCCAAAGTTTTACAGCAAAAATCAGAATCACAAGGACATTGCAGTTCTTCTTGTTTTAACTAAGTGAAGGGCAGCCATTCCGAAACCTATTAATTATTTTGCATCCTTACCAAAACAAATTGCCATTCATGTCACTCGTCTGTTTAAGTTTACCCTGTTTTGTTTCTTCCTGCTATAAATGAAGATTAGGGGAAGTCATTTTCTAAAACATAGAAATCTAGTTTAGTTATCACAGTTTGATCATTAGTTTCTATTCTACATTGTGGACACTTAAGCCTCCAATTATTAGCTTGTTATTTTTCTTCCAAAGAAAGTGCTGCATTTTTATTAACTCATATTTCAGGATTAATAGCACATTCTTATCCGGTGATAAAATAAATCAGACCACAGAATGAATGTGTGCAATCAACTGAATGTGTTATTTTCTTAATATCCTGGGTTCTCCAAATATGTATCGGTATTCCTTAGTTTCAGGGGAGGAAAAAAACTAAGGAAAGATAGCAGGACTACATTGCAGAGCTTCAAAATATCACCTTACGGTTGTCAAAGTTTTGTCAAAGATCTGTAGCTCAGGTTGTGGGTGAGATTGTTGACTTGCACGCCAAGCTGGCTTGTTCTCGTCCAGACATTTCGTCACCATGCTAGGTGACATCATCAGTGGAGCCTTCTATGAAGTAGCGTCATTCTACTCCGCTTGGAATTTATACTGTTTGGTCCGTTATGGTAAGTACTATCCTTTCCAGTTTTGATCTAGAATACACCACCCTCCCCTGCATTTAACCTAAACTGTGGATCCAGTACGTAGACGACACATTTGTCATTATTAAACACAACAAATTAGAAGCGAACCACCACCTTATCAACCGTATTATCGCAGGGATTAAATTCACAAGGGAAGAAGAAAACAACAATCAACTCCCAGTTCTGGACATTAAGGTTGAGCGCATGACCAACAGGGAGATCCAAACCTCAGTATACAGAAAAGCAACCCTTGCTGATAAAATCCTTAACTTCCACAGCAACCACCCCAACGTCCACAAACAAAGCTGCATTAGGACACTATTTAAACGGGCCAGGACACACCGCAACACCCCGGGACTACACAGGAAAGAGGAAGAGCACCTATACAAAATTCTTGCTATAATCGGGTATCCCCGCAACTTCATCCGCAGATGCCTACTAAACAGACAACAGAAGGACACAGTACGCCCTAACACACTGGCCACACTGCCATACATCAAGAACATATCGGAACTGACAACAAGACTCCTGAGACCACTAGGAATCATGGTGGCTCACAAGTCCACAGCCACTCTACGACAAACACTCATAAGGATTAAAGACCTCATTCCCACAACATGCAGAAGCAACGTGGTTTACAAAATACCATGCAACATTTGCCACAAACCTTACATCGGACAGACAGGAAGGAAACTAGAATACATGAACATCAACTAGCAGCAAAACGGCACGATGAACTCTCCGTAATGTCAGTACACTCAATAAAGCCATCAGTTCAACTGGGACAAGCTAACCATAATAGCCCAAGCCAAACATAGACATGCACGGGAATTCTTAGAGATATGGTTCTCCACCCATGATGCAATCAACAAACACATAGAATTGGGCCCATATACAACAACACCACTTCATCGGAGTCTCCACTGATGATGTCAGCTAGTGACGAAACGTCTGAACAAGTTCACGCCAGCTCAGCAAGCAAGTCAACAACTTCATCATCTTAAGATTTTACAAACTTAGGACAACATTTTTAAATTATAATAATCCATTGAGAGAGAGGCGCTAACATTTAAGTTATCCATAAATTTTTCTTAACATGAACTATGCAGCTGGAGAGACACTCAAGGTACAGAGGTATATAATACGGAGATAGCTGTTGAGTGTCACTCAAACTCGACTGGAGTAGAGAATGGTGCTACAGGCTGTCTTTCATGTTTGGAGAAACCACTAAGTCCCACTGATCAGCTTCTCCTCACCTCATGTTGGGCAGTCCCCAAATACTAAATTGCAAACCCACTATGACTATTTGCTTCAGTGGGTGCTTGGAGCTTAGAATTTTTGCTCAACAAGTCAATGGAATGCAGTGCATCAGGCAAACAAACATAAGGCCATTAGGAAATGCAAGCAAAAACTAAAAGTTCAGCTGGATGGAAAAATAACCAAGACAAAACAGGCCACGAACTGTGCATCTTCACAGCCTACCATCTCTCTCTTCGCAACTGCATCAGGCTGCCATGCCAGAATGCAGCTCTTGAGCGACAACAGGCAATACTTAACGCAGCGTTAACCACCACAGTGCAAATCGTTGTGTAACAAGATCGAAGACTACCGCATTAAAGCATCAACCTAGATGTGCGTTCAAGACTCTGTATGTGGAATTCACCTAGGGAAGTACTTAACCAGACTAAAGTTTCCTTAATGTGCTTTGGGCTTAATTCTTAATACTGTATCATGAATACTACGCCTGTTCTAATGACCTTAAAGCACCCGAAGTAATCAGCACATTGAGTTAGAAGCTTATTCTCCAATTGTTGGCTTCTACCTAACACAATTAGGCAGTTTTGCTTCACAATGTTTACACATAAATTAAAGGGGACTACAATGTATTTTTAGTTTCTTAGTCAATTATTGAAGAAAATTGGGATTGTGTTTTTTCACAGAAAGATGACCTGAGGTTTAAGGTTGGAATGGAGAGTGAGAATGTGTCAAGAAAAGTTGAACACTTGACTGAATCGAGTATCAATTTTGGGGGGAAAAAATAAAGAGAGGAACAGCCTAGGATAAAAAAGATAAGATATTCCTGGAGACAAAGAGCAGAAATATGATGAGAAACAGGGCAGGAAGGAGGGTTGGTTCAAACAACAAGCTTCATTAGACTAAATGGCTGTCATTAATTCCATTTAATGAAGGGTTAATGTACTGTACTTAAATTCAAAATGATTTTATACTGGAACTAGTTACCAGGTTTCAGATTTGGAACCTGTCATGCCACCAAAGACGGAAGTTCCTTTATTTCAAGGGATAATCATCCAGAAAGTTGCAAACAAAACTCAAACCAAGGAAGTTGCAAAGAGGAGGGTAAAGTTCTAACAAAGCTTAAGCTGCCACTTTGCATTCAAGTTTTTGAAGCTCAGCAGAGCCAGGTACAAATGAAACTTTTCTGGGTGAGCCGGAAGAGGAGTGGTACATTACATTTTGGCTGCTTTATTGCCATTCCATTTGCATCACATTTCACAATTCATTTCTTTCAACAAATGTATTGAGAGTTCTCACCACTACATACTACAAAAAGTATTCTGTATTAGTTTATCTGACAGATGGGAACTTTTCAATGCCAGAAGGAAATTTGATACCTCATGAGCTTTTAAGTGATGAAAATTCGAAAAATAATTTAATACAAAAATAAGCTACAGCCACATAAAATTCACACAAGTTTTGGCTTCAGGCAAATTGTCAATGTATTCACGAATAAACAGAATCCTGGAAATGAGAAAAGTCACTATATAAAAGCTGTGCAGATGATTTATAGTCATACAGCATGAAACAGACTCTTCGTCCAACTATCCACACCAAGTTGTCAAACTAAACTAGTCCCACTTATAACCCAAAATATTCTCAAACTCACAGTAAAACTGACACTTTAAGAGCAGTGTTAATTTCACTTTAACTTATCCAGATTCCCTTCAATGTGTGATGGAGGACTGCAAACTCATCTCAAAAGCACAGGATGTTCAGAATCAAACAATTTTGTGACATCTACTGCAACAGTTAGATAATGGTTATTAAAATACAAGATGGCCTGCAGCTCTATAAAAATTATTGATGCTGGAAAGTTCCTGGTTAAAAAAAAGATGTTAGCATATTAAGTATTTATCGCGTTTCCCTCTTTAAAATCATATTTTCCGAAGGAATTGGCTGAAGATCTCTGTAAAGCTGAACGCATAACTGAGTATACTTACTTTGTTGCTCAAGAATGAGTTTGCTGTCTAACATAATGAACCTGTTTCCCAATTTGTCAGTGTTCTTTTATTTCGCGAGGGTGGCTATTTTCTATTTTTATTTTCAACTCTCTTCTGTCTGCACTAAATTTACTGGGAATCATGAGTGGCACCTAATGGCAAAATAACTTTTGTTTTTGAAAGTGATTGTGCTACTTGGGAAGCATTCACCACAGTAAGAATACCCAATGGACTGCAGACACAAGTCCAAGTTTATCAAACCAGAGGGTAGTCATTTTCTTTTGGGAAATGTGTCTCTTTGCTGTTTTGAACAAATCATTAACTTGGAACAACCAATTCAAATATAACACACCAGGTTGTAGCTATATTAAACAAACTTCCTTCCCGATACATTGAACTGTGTCACTTCACCTCACCAAATATATGGAATATCTTGTGTGGAAGTCTACTGAAATACCCTTCAGTAACTGTTCTCTTAAGAAATAGAGAATAATATTAAAAAGCCCAAATAAACATAAACAGCTAAATTTAGTTGTTACCTGGATAGCTAATTAGGCTTTAGCAAATGCAAAACATTCAGGCTGCTCTTCCAGAATTAGTTATGAACCGATGGCAGCTGTGCACTTCCACAAAACATGGTGATGATGTAAGTGGAGATTACAACTTTATTTTCTAATATAGAGAATTATTCTTATTATTCCATTAATTTCTCCTCTTGCTTTAAATTATTTAACTACAGCCATCGGTTGCCCACTTAACTTTCTCTAACATGTTCATATTTTAAGGTGCAGTATTCACAATGTTTGAAAGGAATCTGGTAGGCATAGCTGGAATGTAAAGTACCCGGTACAAGAGGTTGCATGCATGGATTATGGTCAATTTACTTCATTGGTGTAGTGGCATTTGTGGTGAGGACCCTTAATACATGGAATGAAATTTTTGGTTTACTTACAAGCAGGAAATCCATAAACAATTACTTCAACTTACCTTTTCATTGAAACACTCAAGCAAGTCTCGGACATACCCTCGCATTTCTTGAAAAAATCTATACCGTCCGCTATCATCTGTGATGCCTTCAAGTCTTTCTATCGTTTTAGATGAGTTTTCCAGATCTTCATTAAGTTTATCAAGCCGTTGCTGATTTGTTTTGTGCACTTCTTTCATTGAATCCAACCTAACAACAACAGCAATCCATGAAAATTATTTTGACCATTGATCTAAAAGGCTAAATAGGAATATTACAGTTACCAGTCAAAATTGAAGCATTAAATCTATTCTTTAACCAAGTCATAGGACAGACATTGTGTTACAGCAATGTGAATAATCTAATAGTCCCGCTAAGAAACCATCCTAAGCATCTGTATACTGTTGAACTTGGTCTCATTAGGGTCAAATATATGCCCCACCTTCAAAAAACTCCACAGGAGCAAAGAACTTTCTGCAGTACAACAAAACGATGTACAATTAATAAACTGAACTCTAAAGCTACAGTATTACTGTGCCACTGATTTGAGACTATTACCTGAAAGAGTCAATTTGTAGCCAGCAAACAAGAGCAATATTGCAAGACGCTTAAGGTTTTTGCAAAGATTTGTAGTTTGGGTCGTGGGTGAGGTTGCTGACTTGCTCGCCGAGCTGGTTTGTTTCTGTTCAGACATTTCAACACCATGTTAGGTAATGTCAACGGTGAGGCCTCCGATGAAGTGATGTTGTTCTACTCCGCTTGGAATTTATACTTTCCGGTTTTGTTCTCTTTGATTTTGTATATGGGGTCCAATTCTACATGTTTGCCAATTGCATTATGGGTTGAGAATCATGCCTCTAGAAATTCCCGTGCATGTCTACGTTTGGCTTGGGCTACTATGGTTACGTTGTCCCAGTTAAACTGATGGCCCTTGACAATGAAGGCCATCAGTTTATCTGGGACAACATAACCATAGTAGCCCAAGCCAAACATAGACATGCACAGGAATTCCAAGAGGCATGGTTCTCGACCCATAATGCAATCAGCAAACATATAGAATTGGACCCCATACACAAACCCACACAGAACCAGAAAGTATAAATTCCAAGCTGAGTAGAACAACATTGCTTCATCGGAGGCTTCACTAATGATGTTGTCTAGCATGGTGACAAAATGTCTGAACGAAAACAAATCAGCTCGGTGTGCAAGTTAGCAACCTCGTTGCAAGATGTCTCTGGCGCAGCATACATGCTTAAAGAAGGAGAGTTCGGTTGGTAAATTTTGAATGTTTGCCTATGAAAGCCAAATACTTTCTACCCTGAAATAAATGGAAATAAACTTCTGGTTTAATTTATAAAGAGCTCACAAAATCCAATGCATCAGAGACATTAAAATCTGATCCCACACTATTGTGGTGTCAAGTCTGAGAACGAGAGACAGAAACCACTCTACAGCAATGAGAAATAGCAGAATAACTGATCTTGCATTCAATCATACTTAGCCTTTTGATTTTTGTTTTGAACAAAAACTAATTATAAGTTTAATCGTTTTACAAGCACAATTTGCTTCTCTCTTGGTTTTCTACATTGTACTACACTTTTTGATTCAGTGGTACAAATAGACTCAAATTATTCCTAGATCAACTGACCGCAAGGGGGGACAAATATGCCAGGAGTAGTAGTTTTGAGCAAATTACAGTAAAAACTGAAATGATCATTGAATGGAATACAGCCTGATAGACTGAAGAGGAAAACAACTACTCCAGTATTCATATGTTTAACTAACATCAATGGAGAAAGTAATTACCTAATAAATGACCAGATTGGTCCTAAGATTATCTCAGAAACTAGATGATCCTTTACTCTTTCTCAAGAATATACTTTCCTTTGCTCATTTAACACAAAATTGAGAGCTTTGAAATAAAGTTAAGGTTGGAAAACCTCAAATAGGTCAAAATAGCAAGCCAAAACATTTAACAATGATTGTGTGTAGCCAAACTGTCACCGATTCCAGCTTAAGACATTCTTCATTACTGCCAATACAAATATCCTCCATTCTCACACCCAGAAATATATTGTAAGACTTGCAGCTCCAAAGAACCAAAATATTTACGTACAAATTACCTCTATTGTAAAACACTTAGATTTTCCCTTCCTTAGACTTCATGGATAGATGTGAATGGACTTTATAATTCAAGTTAACTGAGCAAAGTAACAGTGTCTTTGAAATAAACTTGTTCTCACTGTACTAAATGTTGCAATTGATTCAACAGTTGATCAAATAAACTTTCACTTTACAGCAGAAACATTTAATATATTTTCTTAAATCTTGCCTTATGTCACACTTGCACAAGACTCTCTAAGATCCAATTCTTTAAGTTATTGGGAACAGTTTCAGAAGTGCAAATATGATATTGCATTCTTAAAACACAAAAGACTGCAGTCACACAGTCATAACCGATGTCGTGTTCCAAGACAACATCGAGTACTGGCTGATGTCTTCTTATGTAGAATATGTGCTGCTTAGTGAATGTCCCACGACATAATTCTGTCACTTCTTCAGCAGGCTATTTTATGCCTGAAGGATAGAAAGCTACAGCACAGGTCTCAGAAGCCTGTTTGAGAGAGCTGGTCTGCCCTACCTGTCTTTAAGGCGTTTCTTTACCAAATCAATAGTAACAGGAGGCATCTCATTAATGGAAGGTTTGAAAGCAATAGCATTATCTGTCTTGATTGGTTTAGATTCTGTTGTTCCATAGGTGCTAAATGTGTAAGGAAGGTTGTAGGAAGAACCATATGGCATAGCCTGGTAGCTGTTCTGGTAGTAAACATTAGCCGAATCAGTTGGATGGTTGCTTTGCACCTGTATTGAAAAGAAACAGTATGACTAAATATACTAAATTCTACTTTTGTTTCTCCTGAAGATACAATAAAAATCAATAGCTTCGCAACATAACTTACATATCTCTCTCTCTCTCACACAATACAACTGAATACATACAATACAATACAGGTCCAAATATCAATACCTTTATGCCAAGGTTTTCAGACAGCAACAAAGCAGCAAAAGGAAATTAGCTATTGTAACTTCCATCTCTTTAGTGTACCTCACACATATGCACATTTTAAAAAGCTGAATAATTCCCTTTCCAAGTATTCTGCATTTGTTTTGAATAAAATACTAATTTGTTAGAAAGGTTTTAAAACATATCATAGTTTGGGAAACAACCAAAATTTCAGGTTAAAACAAAATTACACTAATTGCGCCCTGCTCAGTGATTGTTTTCTTAGTAGCAAATATGCTTGCTACTTGAATTAGCCAGCGTCAAAATGAAACAATGAATGAACATTTAAATGCAAGGTTATTAGAATTGTCTGTGAAATAATTTGATGTTGATGTTCAGAACACTTAATTCTATAAAGATTTCACTGAATTTTTTAAAAAATGGAAAAGTAAACCAAAATTTTATGTCTAAGTTAGTGACAGCCTACTAGCCAACATAAATTAACAGATTAAATGAAGAAAATTGTTACCTGAGGGACACTAATTCCTTTTCTGATCTGCTCCTGTTCCCACATCTTTAATTCTTCATCCTGCTCTGTTGTATCCAGTGCTTCATCATCACTTCCTTCAATCCCTGTTCACAAAGAAATAAATGAAGAAGGCAATCAGTAGAGCACACACTGTCAGATTGGGTTAACTTGACATTACTACAATCATGAAACTCTTTCTTGAGGCTTTTCCCGGTCAGGTTGATGTTCTAATCACAAAACCTACACAATTAACGGTAGGGCCCTGGGGAGTGTTGTTGAACAGAGACCTAGGGGTTCAGGTGTATAATTCCTACAAAGTTGCGCCACAGGTAGACAGGGTAGTTAAGGTGGTGTTTAGCACACTTGCCGTCATTGCTCAGATCACTGAATACTGGAATTGGCAAGTCATGTTGCGGTTGTAAAGGACGTTGGTGAGCCCACTTCTGGAGTACACTGTACAGTTTTGGTCACCCTGTTGTAGGAAGACTATTATTATATTGGAAAGGGTACAGAAAAGATTTACAAGGATGCTACCGGGATTGGAGGATTTGAGTGGTAAGGACTTTTTCCACTGGAGCATAGAAGTTTGAGAGGTGACCTGATAGAGGTTTATAAAATCATGAGGTGCATAATAAGGTGAATAGCAAAGGTCTTTTTCCTCGAGTTAAAAACAAAAGGGCATAAATTTTAAGCTGAGAGGAGAAAGATTTGAGAGAGACCTGAGGGACAACTTTTCTACATTGAGTATGGTTCATCTGCGGAATAAACTGCCAGAGGAAGTGGTAGATGTAGGTACAATCATAACATTTAAAAGACATTTGGATAGGTACATGAATAGGAAAAGTTTAGTGGCATATGGGCCAAACCCAGGCAAACAGGACTAGTTTTGTTTAGGAAATCAGGTTGGCATGGATGAGTTGGACTAAAGGATCTGTTTCCACGCTGTACGGCTCTATGATTCTATAACTGTCAGTGAACTTGCCAGAAAAAGTTAGGGTTTGCTCATTCCATGACTCAGCATGTCTCAGCAAGGATTCTTCAATATGATTGGTTCAGGAGACACAGTCATTTCCCCTTTCAACACAGGTTCCTGGTTCCATGGATTGGCACACACAGAAATCGATTTCCAATTAGTACAAATTCCAGCGCAAAAGATCAAAGTTATGAGCAAGTGTGTGTTACAGATCGGTGGCAGTTTGTTAATCATAGAGGGCAAGATCTATAACATTAAATGATGCTCTACGTACTATAATTGTCCTGAACAAGCACTGACCTATTTCTTCTGCAATCTTTTGCCTTTGCGTTTTCTCCTTCACCGAAAACACAATCCTGCGTTTCTCATCATCATCATCACTAGCGTCATTCTCATCTTCACGTACAAGTCGGTTTGTACTTGTCTCAATTTCTACAGCTGGACAATCCCCAAGCTCACGAGCCATCTGCCTTCTTTTGCGAGCAGCATGGATAAAAGCAGCATCCGGAATTTCTCCTGAAAGTGTTAGCTGCATTAATACATATTTGAAACTGCATTGTTCCCTTTAAGTTATCATATACATTTTTATTCATATCCCTGAAAGTTATGCAACGCATAGTCCAGACAACTAACTAGCTCCCAATAATTTTAAAGCATTTAATATATGGTAAAAAGTCACAGAAGTAAATGGGTACATAATGGTAATTTCAACATTCCAGCACATAAATTGCTATTTGATTTGGTGAATGAAGAAAAACTGATCAGATTTTCTACAGCTAGATCATATTCAAACACTTGAAATAAAACTGCTCTATTACATTGCAATGAAAAGTGATTTGTAGTAAATTGCAGTAAATTATTGTTGCTCAGTTCCTTTGGGAATTTATTTTTGACTGCTGCTAGGATATTTTATGGTAAATTCCAGTACAGTATTATGTTAACTTGCAAAATGGTTATTTAGAGGTGAAAATAAAATCATTTAAGCTTTTCAGCTTTTACACATTTCACACCTGGTCGAAGTGCATTTAGCGTAGACAGAGTGTTGGTAAATGCTCCCACAGCTTTGGCTTTGCCTTCTTCATCCTGCTCATCACTGTCTACCTCCATTTCCTCCTCTCCTTTCTCACTTTGGCCATCATCTTGTACAGGTTCCTTCACCAAAGCAGGTTTATCTACTGTGACATCTGCTGAGAAAGAAAATGCTACTGCAGAAAGGTTCATAATTGAAAAGAAAAACTGAAGAGCATTGGATACTTGTCAATTCAACATGAAATCTATATTTTGACAAACAGGAAATTAACAGAAGTCAAACTGTAACATTTAGCATATTATGACATGGCAAACAGGATCTCTCCTGCTTATAATACACAAGGTGAAATGAAAAAAAAATGCTATACCAAATTTCTAGGATGTTACAAGTCACAAGTATCAACTTTATATTTATTTTAACAAGCTGAATGATTGTTTTCGCTGCAACTCCTGGTCAGGATGAGTTAGTTCGTTTGAGTTTGACTCAGTTTTTGTAATCAGCAATTTTAAAAAGGTTTTTAAATACAATTAGAAAATAATTTTGTTCAGTCCTACAACACTGTCACGATAAACATAGCTAATCCAGTGGGCATTGCCTACAAACAACATACAAATGAAGCTGTTAACTCATGTATGTCATCTTTTATCAGAGACAATCCTTTACATTTATTCTATGTATCTGTATGCATTCAATTTTCACAACAAATATATACAAAAACTACCAGAAGGTAGATTATTCTTCACAGTAAAAGAGGTGATATTGTAGCAATTTCTTGTTATTATTGCTTCTAAAATTAATTTAAGTCTCATAGAGGTTATTAAGTGAAGATGCATTCTGCACTAGTGAACAATTCTAGAGTGAACCTTATTCCCCTGACTTGCAAATGCAATTACTGAATAGAATGTTTGCTACTATATTTTGATCTCTTTGACTATATTTTGATCTCTTTGACTATATCATGTGCTAAATTATGATTTCCTCAATTTTGGGAATGATAAATATACATTTTAAAGGCATACTAATAACAAACACACTTACATTACATTAAACAGGTAAATTACCAGCATTCAGTATAAGCAGCATATTTATATTAATTTACAAACTACATTATCCCTCCCGAAATGGTGGAAAAACAAATATCAACATTAAATTCATCTGCAAAATGTTGCATTCCTTCACATACACTTATGTATCATCAAAGATCACTGGTCTAGTTCAGCCTACATACTGCCTTCAGATTGTCTGTTGACCAAAATCTTTGAAAATATACTGAATATTTAACAACTATGTTCAATAACATCGAGTTAATAGTGTTAGCAGTTATCAGTTCTTCTCTTACTTTAGATTAGAAAACTGAAGTAGATGCAAAGATAGGCAGACGAAGTCACAAAGCAATTTGAGCACAGGGATGAGAATTTTAAACTTGAGAAGTTCCTGGAACATGGGTGAGCTCAGCAGTGATAGGCAAATGGAAATTTGTGTGAGTTGAGTTAGGATATAGGCAGCATTTCTTTGGATTTGAAATTAATGAAGGGTAGAAGACTGGGGTGCAGGGTAAGAAACAATTATTAGAAACTATGGCTTGAAAATACACTAACATACTTAGCTCAGAACTTTTTGTTTTACTGGCAACTCAGATCCCTGGAAGTAAAATTCCACAATTCAAGGTCTACAGCAGATATGAAAGGAGTATTTATGGAATATGAAGTGAATTGGCTGGTGCCAAGACAACCCAATTACTGCAGGAATTAAGAAAAAAATGAACTGTTCACCTCTGCAATGCTCATACTTACTTGAAACCTGAGAGTTCAGGTCACTTTTCGCCAAGGACTTTTCAAGATCCTCCTTGTACTCTTTCTTGAGTTTATTTACAATCTTTTTACTGTAATTTGATTTCTTCACTTTAAAAACCTCTTCTTCTGTAGAAGGGGAAAGAAAAATATAAATATGGATACTTAAACAGCAGGTATATAGAACTTACACTAAGGAATTCTACCTTCGGTAAACAATTTATTTGAAAGTTTGAAAGTCCTTCAAAGTCTTTAAAGAAATTTTAACAATCTAATGAATAAAACAAAAAAAAAAGCTTGAAAAGATTCTCTAATCGCCAATTACTTTCAAAAACACCTTTTTTCTTCTACTGACAGCCACTCACTTAATCGTAAAAGCTGCTCTTTTGTGACATTGGTCACCGGTCAAGTATCTGAGTGGTCAATTATGCTTACATCACTGACAATTTGCCAAGTCGTGGGGAATGCAGCACACTGGTCTTGATGTTCTTCATCTAACCACTTATATAATTATAATAAAGCATTAGCATCTGGTTTGTTGGTTGTACTTCTATCCATTTTATATTGAAAAGTCTAACCACAGATTTATTTCAATTTTGTTTGTTCAAACACAAAAGCAATAATTCAGAAACTATGAACTAAAATCCTTCACTGCTTAAAAGAAGCAGAAACTAAATGAGACCATGAAAAGTAGATGACAAAGTGTGGAGCTGGAGGAACACAGCAGGCCAGGCAGCATCAGAGGAACAGGAAAGCTGACATTTCATTTTAGAAGAAGGGTTCCGACCCGAAACGTCAGCTTTCCTGTTCTTCTGATGCTGTCTGGCCTGCTGTGTTCCTCCAGGTCTGCAGTTCTCGTTATCCAAGTACTTTTACTGTCATTTTTCTCAATAACTTAAAATTTCTGCATTTGAAATTAAGGTTTGCAAACAAAAATATGCATTTCATAACATATCTAAAATTTGTAAGTTCTTGAGCCCTTTAATAATTTCTTAAAGACTTGAGCTCAAAGTTTGCAATGCAGTTGACAGCCTAATAATATTTTGCTGGAGACAGTAAATGCATTTTATGCCTACAATTATGAGACAATGCTACTTTTACATAAACAATTCTCAACATTTCAGTCACATTCCCTTCTTTCCAATATTTTTAAAAGTGTACAATTACATGTGATCTAATTCCTTCTTTAATTATTCTCTGCACAAGAAATCTCCCAAGCTTTTAGATCAATTCCGTTTTACCTAAAACCTACATCTTATAGGTTGATAAATATTGACTGCAATGCCACAAGATGCTCAATAATTTGCAAGAGACCGAGAATTATCTAATGTACGGGCTTCTAACTAGCATATATTGCAGCACCATGAATACTGAAAGGCACCTGAGTGAGATATACGTGGGACTGATTGAGTGAACAACTAGAAAGGAATCTACTTAAGCATTTGTGGAGTCTTGAAGATAAAGTTTAAACTAGGCCTATAGTAAAGTGCAAGGATTCAATGATTTTGGTGTACAATTGATTAAATAAGCTACATATAAAAAAGCAGCAAATCTTCAACTGAGGAGCTAGGAAGCATTAAATTATGATGATAGATGGTGTCATTGTCAAAGATATAAATTATCCTCCTTCACATCACAGAATTTATGGAGTATTTAGCGCTTACATGGGATTGTTCTGTAAAGATGCAAGATGCGTTCAATATATTCTGAATTTTAATGACTGTGTGAATCACTTCACCATAATTTTATGAGCCTGTAAACTGCTCAAGCGTGTAACAAATTATTTTGCAATGATTACACTGATACACTGTGAAACTGACACATGCACGACATTAATATCAAAAGGAGCAGCTACACACTGCAACAAAACCATGAAAACGTAGTCCCAATTCTTCCTGTATTCTTGAATTAAAATTTAAAGTCTAGAGGCAAGATGATCCGTCTGTTCAAAAGGCAGAAAATTCTCTCTGCAGACTGTCAGCAGATCTGGTATTTTTCTTTCACATATTAAAGCTTTATTTGTTTTCTGGTTGTCTTCAATTTGCAATTATTCTGAAATAGTCATGAATTTTTTTTTGCTCTAATCTATCTCTGGATGGCAAATGTTTTTAGAACATTGTAACAGCACTAAAGAGTGTACAAATAACCAAACAGTGCACACTTCTTCCAAGAAATCAGAACATAAATATTCCTACCAACAATCATTTTTAGGGAGGATTATTTGGCAGCAAGCAAAATTTAAAATTAAAAAAAAGACAAGGTTGAATTAAATTCAATCTTTAAATGCAAAATATAGGCTTGGCAATTATTTTCTAATCCTGAAAACTGAGAACACTAAAATGTAAAGGTCAAATTAGAAAGTTTACAGGTTGAATGCTCAAATTTGAAATTGCTTCAGTGGTTAGTGTAGCATATTTTAATATCTACAGGTTGATGTTTAGCATTACTTCATGCAAGTTTCAAACTTGAAATCTTTTGTTTAAAAACAGGTAACAATCTCATAACATAGAATACGTGTGGCAAATACATTTCTAAACCATCGAACATCCATGAGGGAGGCAAGATTTAAATACACATGCACCATTTTAAACTGAAATATGATTGCAAAACTCAGCTACTGTACATGTTATATTTGTGTACATTCTTCAGGAGGTAATGAGACTGCGTGTGCGGAACAA